TATAGATGTGGCCAATAACACCCTACTTTTATCAGGGAAATAACACAGCCAAAACATCTATAAGAAAAATGGATTCTTTTATTCTGGACTGAGCCTCAAGGAGACACAGCATTAACTTACTTTGTTTGGGAAATAAGTTGGCTTTATGGCAAAATAAAAAAGGTCAGCAACAGGAAAAATAAATGTATATATAACTATAAGAATAAATTTGTTGACAGTATTCAAAACATCCAATTCAAAATCCTCATGTGACTTAAAGTAGTTCAAAACCACGTTAATAAACTATTTAATATGTGCAAAACAACGGCAGTGGCTTATCTGTGCCTAATAAAGCAAACAAAAAACAGAATAAATGAGCAATCAGCACATTCCAATACATACAATACATCACACATATGATAATTCACATGAAAAGGCATTTTTTACATAACGTAATGTGTTCAGGACCCACACATAAGTTTACATGTTACACTGAGAACAAAACTTTCATGTCTTACACATAATCACACTCCATGAAAATAAAATGAGCAAACTCACTCGTTCTGATTCTCTGAAGCACACGTGCGATTAGCAGTTAGCACCTGTGTGATCTTGTGTACTGCTCTTCTCCCCTCTAACACAGCATAAAGAATAACTATTACTGTATGTACAGCTTATATAGAGAATAAACAGCATCATCAAACATTTTGGAACATTATCAAACTCTTAAAACAGTTATTAAGTTAACTCACGCTCAATCTCCACTAGCGTGCTCTGAATTCTCCTTCCTCAACGAGATTTCTCACATGCAGGAACAATGATCGGCTGAGCAGCAAATTAAGCCAGCAGATAAACAAACTCACACCACCTGCATCTGCTACCTGCTCCCAAGTTAACACAAAACTGCAAACTTTCTCTCTTAAACAGTTGTATCAACTTTCTTTCCCCCTGTCTGTAACTGCTTCACACCGCGCTCTCTGTATCTGACGTGCACCTTTTTTTCCGCGTTTGTGTGTGCGTGAACTCTTAAAGGGGCAGCGCTTAAAAACAAACAAAACTAAATATGGTTGTATAACTGGGGAAATTAATTAAATTTCAAATGAATATTACCCCGGTTACACTCTCCCTTGCCAACTGTCAACGTCCTCGATGACTTCAAACCCCCTTAATCATCTACTTCTTGAAGTTTCTCAGATGTGTACAGGAGTATACCTGCTAACACCTTGGACAGAATATCAGGGCTGAGGCTCACAGCATTGCAAACTGACTTTGGCAATTTATTTGGATTACTATGAACACCAGCAGTTGACCGCTGAGTTCTGCGTGGTGATGGACAAGGTGCATCAACATGAGTACTCTCTGTCTTAGGCTTTCTGGGAACTGGCACTGGTCTAGCACTCACCGTTTCTATCGGTGAACCAGTTCTTTCAGGGTTAGGCAGAGAAAGCTCTTCAATTGCGCTTACTTCATTAATCACTCGATCCTTACTTCTCTCCTGTGCTTCCTCCATCTCATCCATAACACCACTATCTGGATCCAAGTCCAGCTGACTCTGCACTGACTCCTCCCGTACTGGATTTTCTGAGCCACTTTCATGCAATCGGGTGTTCTCCACAACCACACACTCTGCATCCAATGAGGGCATACCTTTTATGGAGGTAGGTACTTCTTCCACTGATTTAATTTTTCTCCGTGGCATTGGGACTGGTCCCGGACAGGGTCTAATGTCAGACCTATGTACTCGTCTTGCCGGGCCACCTCCCACTGGCTCCACAGTGTAGGTTGTTCCATGCACCTCGATCACCTTATAGGCTGTGGGTGCCCAAGCATCCTGTATCTTGTTCCGTCCCAGGGGACGATGCCGTAAGTACACATGTTGACCAACTGCAACTTCTGGACAGTATAACTCATTATGGCGCTTAGCAACTCGATCTGCTGCCTTCTTCTCAGCGTACTCACGTGCACGTGTGTGAGCCTCCTGGAGTCGCTCTTTATGGACTGACAACCAGGCTGGCTCCTTCTCACTCATGGGTTCCTGACCCAACAAAGCATCCACTGGTAAATGCGGTTGTGTACCAAAGAGCATATAATGAGGGGAGAACCCGGTGGAGGAATGAGGAGTGACATTATAGGCGTACACTAGCTCAGGTAGGTACTCGGGCCACCTTCGTTTTTTGTCAGGCGGTAGGGAGCGTAAAAGATCATGCAAGGTTCGGTTGAACCTTTCACACTGTGCATTTCCCTGTGGGTGATGTGGTGTAGTGTGAGACTTCCTTACCCCATATAGCTTACAGAGCTCTGCAACAACAGCACTCTCAAAGTTCCTCCCTTGGTCTGAATGGAGACGCTGGGGTACACCATACTTGAGGAACCATTCTTTAAGTATGATCTTGGCTGTTGTATCTGCCTTCTGATCACGAGTAGGGAATGCCTGGCTGAACTTAGTGAATACATCGGTCACCACCAAGACATTCTCTCGCCCATCTGATGCAGGCTCCAGTGTGGTGAAATCCATCGCAACCACCTCCAATGGATGAGAAGCTAAGAATGGGGTCCAGGGTGCCTTTATTTTGGGCTGCGGCATTTTTGATAGCACACACCGCTGGCACTTTTTCACCCACTGATCCACAGCATTATACATTCCAACCCAGTAACAGCGCTTTCTGAGCAGACCCAAAGTCCTTTCTACCCCCTGATGCCCCATGTTGTCATGGACACTTTGTAGGACCCGTTCAACCAGACAAGCTGGAAGCAGCAGCTGTTGACATTCCCCATTGAATACATCATCAATGATCCTGTACAGCAGTCCATCTTTCTCTTGTATTCTGTCCCACTGTTTTAACAATGCCAGAACTGATCGGGACAAGCTCACTCTCTCATTTTTTGTGGGTTTCCTTTTTTGGTTCCAGAAATGTCTAAACAAGCTAATAACGGGATCTGCCTTTTGGAACTGGCAAAGCTCATCCTTGGTGTACCCAGGCAATGTTGGAGTGTTCTCCAGAAAGTGTTCATCCTCCATAGCTTCCTGTAGCTGCCCTGTTCCTTCCTCTCTAGATCCTGCCACTTGTTCTGCAATGCTGGCCTCCACTAAAGTCCCTACCCGAAGCTCACTGCAAACAGCCACACAGCCATCGTACTCTGAATCCTCAGTCACTACCTCCATACCTTCCATTCCTGGTCGGCGAGATAGGGCATCCGCTGCAGTGTTGCTCCGCCCAGGGCGGTACTGCACTTCAAAATCGAATATTGCCAACTGTGCGGCCCACCTCTGTTCAACAGCACCTAGCTTAGCTGTGTTGAGGTGGCAGAGGGGATTGTTATCCGTTAAGACAGTAAACTTGGAACCAAGCAGGTAACTCCTAAACTTTTCCACTACAGCCCATTTGAGTGCCAGGAGCTCCAGCTTCATACTACTGTAGTTCCTGTCATTCCGCTCTGCACCCCTCAACCTCCGGCTTGCATAGGCTATCACAGTCTTATGTCCCCTTTGCTGTTGGTATAGCACAGCACCTAATCCAAGGTTACTGGCGTCTGTCTCTAACACAAAAGGTATGGTAAAGTCTGCGTATCCCAATGTAGGAGCACAGGTAAGCTTCTCTTTGAGCTTCTCAAAGGCTTGCTGGCACTCCATGGTCCAGGAGTCCTTGAACAACTTGTTGGCCTGAGCAACACTTTTCTGGTGAACGCATGTGTTGACAATATCATGAAGCGGACCTGCAACTCTGGAGAAACCCTCAATAAAACGTCGATAGTAGCTGCAAAATCCTAAAAAGGATCGCAGCTCTTTTAGAGTGTTAGGGACTGGCCACTGGTTCACTGCACTCACTTTTTTCCGGATCTGTAGACACTCCTTGAGCAGACACAACTTGCCCTAAGAACCTCACCTCAGATTGCAAAAAGTGACATTTGTCCACCTTAATCTTAAGTCCTGCCTCCCTCAACCTCTGTAACACAGTCTCAAGTCGCACTAAGTGTTCCTCAAATGTACTCGAGTACACAAGCAAATCGTCCAAATATACAAGTACCATTTGAAAGACCAGGTCACTCATTATGGTCTGCATGAGACGCTGGAATGTCGCTGGCGCATTACATAGGCCAAACGGCATACGCTGGTACTCATACAGGCCAAATGGTGTAATGAAAGCTGTTTTGTGGCGATCTTTCTCATGAACTGCAACCTGGTGATAGCCGCTCGCAAGGTCAATGGACGAGAACACCTGTGCCCTACCCAAAGCATCCAAACTTTCATCTATTCGTGGCAATGGGAACGCATCCCGTCTAGTTTTACAATTTAACTTCCGGTAGTCAACGCATAAACGAAGACTCCCGTCGGTCTTTCGAACTAACACCACTGGAGATGCAAACGAACTGGAGCTTTCTTGGATGATACGCTTTTTGAGCAATCCAGCTATATGGTCCTTCACTTCCTGAAACTGATTTGGAGGTATTCGCCGGTACGACTGTGAGATAGGGAATTCGTCATTTAAGGGGATCTCATGCTTCACTAGTTCAGTGTAACCTAGGTCTTCCTCAGTGACTGCAAATACATCTAAATACCTTCTAAGAAGTGACTTCAACTCTGCCTGTTGTGCCTGGGTACCACCAATCTGTACTCTTTCTAAGGGACATTGCAGATCTCCACTAACTCCCTTCATTGACCTCTGATTAACCATCACCTCCTCATGATCAACAGAAATTTGGTGGAATCTAACTTCACAGGAGCTACTCTCGACATGACCACCATGGCCTAGTACACCTAGCTTCACTTTGGGTGGCAACCATGCGCCTTCAGGGGATAGATTTACTACCTGTATCGGGAAGACCCGCTTTGCAGGTGATACCAAGGTAGGGATCAAAACCAAACCACCTGGCAATGAAGACTGGCCTGGCTCAAACAAACATAAGTCTTTACTCTCAGGTAGTATTTTAGGTGTTCTGGCCTGAACTGTAGCCACAGAAGCTGCAGGTATATACAATTTATGTGTGCTGGCTATCCGGACCAAAGAGTTTGCTTTTACTGCGGCAGCTTCTTGTACTTTGTTGAGGGCAGCTCTCCATTCAGCATCCAAATTCCCCTTCAAAGCATTGTCAAACTCAGCTAAAATTAATTGTTTACAACGCTGTGCTATATTCATACCAAGTATGCCTGGGGGCGCTGAGTCAATCTCCCCTTCCTTCTGGTCTCGTATCACTAAGAACCCACACCCAGGTAAAGTCAAACCCATAACCTGGATATCAAGTTCAATGTACCCCTGGTAGGGAAGAGGCAACCCGTTAGCGGCAGTAATCTTTAACCACTTGCTTGTGCAGTGCATATCTTTGTCTTCCCCGTGAAGATGTTCTTTAAAAAAGCTCTCTGTTAAAGTGCTCACATTACTGCCAGTGTCTAACAGGCACCGGATTGCAACTCCCCCAGCATGAATTTCCACTTCTGGGCACTTGCCCACTGCGCGCTCCAGAAACTGCTCTTTTGTGAGGGTACCAGTCTTTGAGCCATCTGTGCCACCTCTCACTGCTCGGCTCTTCGCAATGGAGGTGCACCGTTTCCCGCAATCAGTGACTCAGACGTAGTAGGTACAGGGTTTTCCTGGGAGCGCTGCCCAGTGCATTGCCTGGCTATGTGCCCAACACTCTCACATCTCAAACAAATGGGTTGGCCACCCCGGGTGTATCTCGGCTTAAACTTGGGCTTATTCGATTTCTCAAGAGTTGAGTCAGACCTCTGAATTGTCAAATCACGCACAGCATTGGTAAGCTCCCCGATTGCTTTCCCTTGTTGTGTAATTACTTTAATTACCTCTTGTAGGGCTAGTGTTAAGTCATTTGTTACAGTGGCTGTCATCTGTGCATTTTCAGCACTTTCTTTCACACTCACTAGATTTCTGTTTCGGGCTACATTTGTTGAACGAGGCCTCTCTTCTGAGCACCACAAAAGGGCCTCCTCACGGACTTCAAATAATGTAGCATCAGGTCGCTCTCTAACCACTTTACGGAGCTCCCTGCGGAGTGCTAAATCCCTCACCCCCTCAATAAACTGGTCCCTTAGTGCCCGTTGCACATTTGGAACACATTGTGGTGCTTGTTGCAGAGCAGCATTTAACATCAATGACAGTGCGTGTGAAAAATCACGAAAATCCTCACCGTCTAATTGTTTGCGTGCATAAAATGTGTGCAGTAACTGAGAGGTGCTACGCTTTTCCCTAAAAGCTGCCCTCAAATATGAGAACATGTCTTCAGCTGACTTATCCTCACCCCCCATGCACAACTTGACTTCATCGAGAGCTGAATCCCTTAAGTGCGAGAGGATAAAATCTACCTGATCCTCGGAGTTTAAACCTCTAACCCTGATTACCCTTTCCAGCTCCTCAATGAATTCATCAACATTCTGGCAGTCTTTACCTAGATCCCCACTAAAAGGTACAATCTGTTTTTCCCTTGGGATATACACATAGGATCTAGTATGGACATTGGTCATGTTAGATAGAGCTGACATGACTTGATCATGCCTACGTCCCAACTCCAGGATCTGGGACTGAAGCTGTGAAATGGGATTACCTCCTTCAGCGTCCACTCCTGGTGCTGCAGCACCTGCACCTTCAATGTCCTCTGCCATTGCGTCAGCATTGTCCATGTCCCTCTCAGCATCCATTACCTTGTATCAGAGTTTCAAAATGTCTCGACCAGCCCACAACAGTCAGATCGACGAGCACTGTCCTTCTCAAAGTCCTTGCAGACAGCAGTCCTGGTGCGCTGGCCCCTTTATCCTGCAGCTGCTTCCGTCAGAATGGCACTGCAGGTCCTTCCAGCACTCGGTCGTGTGTCACCACTACCGTTGTTTGCACTCTTTGATTTTTTTTTTTTTTAGTTATTTATTTTTATTTTTAGCCCCAAACAAACAGAATCCCACTTCTGACACCAAAATTAGATGTGGCCAATAACACCCTACTTTTATCAGGGAAATAACACAGCCAAAACATCTATAAGAAAAATGGATTCTTTTATTCTGGACTGAGCCTCAAGGAGACACAGCATTAACTTACTTTGTTTGGGAAATAAGTTGGCTTTATGGCAAAATAAAAAAGGTCAGCAACAGGAAAAATAAATGTATATATAACTATAAGAATAAATTTGTTGACAGTATTCAAAACATCCAATTCAAAATCCTCATGTGACTTAAAGTAGTTCAAAACCACGTTAATAAACTATTTAATATGTGCAAAACAACGGCAGTGGCTTATCTGTGCCTAATAAAGCAAACAAAAAACAGAATAAATGAGCAATCAGCACATTCCAATACATACAATACATCACACATATGATAATTCACATGAAAAGGCATTTTTTACATAACGTAATGTGTTCAGGACCCACACATAAGTTTACATGTTACACTGAGAACAAAACTTTCATGTCTTACACATAATCACACTCCATGAAAATAAAATGAGCAAACTCACTCGTTCTGATTCTCTGAAGCACACGTGCGATTAGCAGTTAGCACCTGTGTGATCTTGTGTACTGCTCTTCTCCCCTCTAACACAGCATAAAGAATAACTATTACTGTATTTACAGCTTATATAGAGAATAAACAGCATCATCAAACATTTTGGAACATTATCAAACTCTTAAAACAGTTATTAAGTTAACTCACGCTCAATCTCCACTAGCGTGCTCTGAATTCTCCTTCCTCACCGAGATTTCTCACATGCAGGAACAATGATCGGCTGAGCAGCAAATTAAGCCAGCAGATAAACAAACTCACACCACCTGCATCTGCTACCTGCTCCCAAGTTAACACAAAACTGCAAACTTTCTCTCTTAAACAGTTGTATCAACTTTCTTTCCCCCTGTCTGTAACTGCTTCACACCGCGCTCTCTGTATCTGACGTGCACCTTTTTTTCCGCGTTTGTGTGTGCGTGAACTCTTAAAGGGGCAGCGCTTAAAAACAAACAAAACTAAATATGGTTGTATAACTGGGGAAATTAATTAAATTTCAAATGAATATTACCCCGGTTACATATATATATATATATATATATATATATATATATATATATATATATATATATATATATATATATATATTAGGGATGCACGATATATCGGCGACCATATCGTTATTGGCCGATAAATGCTATTTTTAAGATTATTGTTATCGATCCGATGTCTTAATTAGGCCGATATATTTAAGCCGACAAATTACGTAATTGTACAGACCTACCTGCCGCGCTCGCGTGGGCGGAACATGTTCAGACTTGCCCAGTGCACTCCAATGGAGCTCTCCTCACACTGTTTATTCCTTCAAAGTCTGTCATTTCTTCACGTGGCACTGCTGTGCGTTAATAGCTCAGTAAGTAACCATGTTCCTCATTATTGTAGATGTGTTTGATTGAGTATCATTGTGTATTTTGCTTTAAATCGCCTCAGGAAAAATATTACATGTGTAAACCTTTCCTGCTCTTCTCTTTGTTGTGTTAGATATAGCAGGGAGATTTACTTATTACTCCAGGGCCGAATAATATTATTTTCGGGGTGAACTCTTTTAGTTGCAGCTGGTGAATGAAAGAGGACGCATGTAACTTGGTCCAAAATATTTATTACTTTCCGTGTGGTACAACAAATAAGTCACCAAAGAGGGAACATCACAGAAAATGGTCTCATTGCGAAAAAAAACGCTCCTTTTTTTCTCTCTCCCTCTCCCTCTGCTTCACACACCCCAAACTGCAGCCCAGTCCCCTAAAGGATCCGAACATTTTACAACACGTGTAAACATAACGGTTGTTTGTAATCTGATTATTTGTTATTATTAAGGCATTGCTGTTCATGTGTTGTTGATGTAAGATAGTATTCAGTTTGATCGGAATATTCATATTGATTATATATCGAGCTCGCGTGAGAGCTGTCACCGCACACACACTGTAGCACGGGGGAGAGGTGAATCCAGTCAAAGGGGCTCTTAACTAGCCACTCATTCTGTCTTTATATTCTGCTCTGTTTGTCATAAAGTCAGCTCAATGCAGGTTTTGTATCAAAATCTGACTGATGGCAACTCTGCCTCTACAGTTAAGTAAAACTCTCAGCGGTTTATCATAAACTTTTTATCGATCATTTTCCGTGGATTGACGACAAGAACGAGCACAGAAGCGCTGTCTGATTGACAATCAGCACCTACATGTGACATGTCAAAATGGCAAGTAGGATGAATCTGTGCCGAATTTTCTAAACGTACGAAAATGTACTATCTGTATTTAGCTATTCGCTTGTACGGTGGCTCTAAACTGTCAAAAAACCTCTAAAAAAAGGCTTTTTCGGACATGACATATTTGTACATGTGTACATCACTGTAACACGTTTTATTCATGACCATTTGAACTGGTTTCTGTCACGGTTGCAGGTTTGTGCGCTTTTCCGGAGTGTATGTTTGATCACGTGGGTTTGTTTTGTTTTGGTTGTCCATGTGTATTTGTTATGCTCACGTGACATGACGACTATCAGCGGGGCTGATTACTCACCAGCTGAGGCTCATTATTAGCCCTATATCAGGGCGACGTTTCCATGTCTCATTGTCAGTTCGTTTCATCTGTTCTCATGTGTGTTATCTGTGCTCAGGTCCCTGAGGAGATATTTCTGGACCCTGTTTTTCCTGTCTGTTCCTGCCCTGTGTTCGTCGTCTTCCTAGCCTGTCACTTCCCTGTTTGTTTATTTTGACTTGGTCAAATAAACCTTATTTTCACTTGCTATTGGATCCTATTTTGACTCTTATTTTTGTTGAACGTGACAGAACGAACTGACCTTATTATGGATCCAGCGAGTGCATCCCAAATCTCCGAGTTCGTCTCGCACAGCAACGCCAGGATAGACCGTCAGGATGAGGCTTTGGTCACCTCGTCACAGGCGATCCAGGCTCTGGTCGGCCAAGTGTCGCTGCTTTCCTCCCAAGTCCAGCGGTTGATCGCTGGAGCTGCACGGGCTGACTCGGCATCGACTCCGGAGGTGACACCGCCAGCGCCTGCGGTTGTTGGTCGCTCTGTTGAACCACGCCTTCCACCCCCGTCCTGCTACTCTGGGGAGCCCCTCTTGTGTCGATCCTTTTTGTCCAAGTGTTCCCTTTATATTACGCTGCAACCATCATTGTTTGCCACCGAAAGATCCAAGGTAGCGTTTGTCATCACGCTTCTTTCAGGCAAGGCGGCCCAATGGGGAACTACAGCATGGGAACAAAAGTTACCATGCTGTGCTACCTTCGACCTGTTCTCCACAGAGTTAAAGAAGGTCTTTGATCGAGCCGCCTCCGGGAGAGAGGCTGCCCGAGTTCTTGCTGAACTCCGCCAGGGGAATCGCAGCGTGGCGGAGTACTCTATAGAGTTCCGGACCTTAGCCGCTGAATGCGGCTGGAACGCGGAGGCGCAATGGGACATGTTTTTGCACGGATTATCTGACCGGCTTCAGGATGAGATCTATTCGTTAGATCTTCCTAAAACTCTTGACGGGCTAGTTGACTTAGCCATCCGGGTTGACACTAGACTGCGCCGTCGAGAGAGTCGCCTGCAGCAAGGCGGGTTTTCGGAGCTCGTCCCTGACTTTCCGGTCCGGACTGCGACACCGGAAGTGGTTGACCCGGAACCCATGCAGGTGGGTAGATCCTGCTTGTCCGTGCAGGAGAAGCGCCGACGGAGATCGGAGGGACTCTGCCTCTACTGTGGTGGGGCGGGGCATCGGGTGGTTTCCTGTCCCGTAAAAGACAACACCCATCAGTAGGCAAGAGGTTACTGATGGGTGAAATTAATATGGACAAATCCTCTACGTCTGCTACTTTACTGCCCGTCTCTTTATCATGGGGTTCCGGAACTCATAACACACAGGCGCTCGTCGATTCCGGGGCGGAAGGAAACTTCATTGACTCTAGTTTCGCTTTCAGTTTCAAACTTCCGGTCATAGCACTATCACAACCCATTGCAGTACGCGCACTCAGTGGACTTTCCCTTCCCACTATCACCCACTCCACCAAACCCATAAAACTGATTACGTCTGGAAATCATGTTGAACACATTTCATTTTTTTTAACAGACTGTTCCAACTCACCAGTGGTTTTAGGTCATCCTTGGTTGATTCTGCATAAACCCCACATTAATTGGGGCCTTAATTCTGTATTCTCGTGGAGTGAGAAATGTCATGAGTCTTGTCTTTCGTCTGCTCGTTCTGCTGTCTCTTGTTCTGTGTTTCAGGAGGAGCGCATGGACCTGTCAAACGTGCCCAGTGAGTACCTCGACCTGAAGAGAGTGTTCAGTAAGTCTCGAGCTGCTTCTCTGCCTCCTCATCGTCCCTATGACTGTGCAATAGACTTATTGCCAGGTACGTCTCCGCCTAAAGGCAAGTTATACTCTCTTTCTATTCCTGAGAGGGAGGCCATGGAGAAATATATTTCTGATTCTCTAGCGGCCAAGATCATACGGCCCTCTTCTTCACCGGCGGGGGCGGGGTTCTTTTTCGTGAAAAAGAAGGATGGCTCTCTTAGACCCTGCATAGACTATCGAGGGCTGAACAGCATCACGGTGAAGAATACGTATCCTTTGCCGTTGATGTCTTCAGCGTTCGAGCGTCTGCAGGGGGCTTCGTTTTTCACGAAATTAGATCTCCGTAACGCATATCATTTGGTTCGCATGAAGCAGGGTCATGAGTGGAAGACTGCGTTTTTGACCCCCAGGGGGCATTTTGAATATTGCGTTCTTCCGTTCGGGCTTTCTAATGCTCCTGCGGTCTTCCAAGCACTCGTAAATGACGTGTTGCGAGACATGATAGATCAGTTTATTTATGTCTACCTGGATGACATTCTGATTTTTTCTCGTTCTCTCCAGGAACATGTGCAGCACGTCAGGCGAGTGCTTCAGCGGCTGCTAGAGAATGGGCTTTTTGTCAAGGCGGAGAAATGCGTGTTCCATGCACAGTCTGTTCCCTTTTTAGGACACATTGTGTCAGTCGAGGGGGTGCGCATGGATCCAGAGAAGGTTCAGGCTGTGGTAAATTGGCCAATTCCGGAGTCTCGTAAGGCCCTGCAGAGATTTCTGGGCTTCGCTAATTTTTACCGGCGATTTATCCGCAATTTCAGCCAGCTCGCCGCCCCTCTGACGTCCTTAACCTCCGCCAAGACTCCCTTCAGGTGGTCGAGTGTAGCACAGGCTGCGTTCACTAAACTGAAAGGCTGTTTTGTTTCAGCCCCCATTCTGGTGACACCTGATCCAGCCCGGCAGTTTGTGGTGGAGGTTGACGCGTCAGAGGTGGGGGTGGGCGCTATCCTGTCCCAGCGCGCCGCCTCGGATGACAGAATTCATCCGTGCGCGTTTTTCTCACATCGATTATCTCCCACAGAACGTAATTACGACATTGGTAATCGGGAGTTGTTGGCTGTCAAACTCGCATTGGAGGAATGGCGTCACTGGTTGGAGGGTTCGGGGGTTCCCTTTATCGTTTGGACCGATCATAAGAACCTCGAATACATCAGGTCTGCCAAACGACTTAACTCCAGGCAGGCTCGGTGGGCATTATTCTTCGGACGTTTTGACTTTACCATTTCTTATCGGCCGGGTTCCAAAAACACCAAACCCGACGCGTTATCCCGTCTTTTTGATTCTTCCGAGCGCAATCCGTCTCCTGAGCCCATCGTTCCCCAGAGCATTTGTATTTCTGCGGTGACATGGGAGATCGAGAGCAGGGTCCGCACAGCCCTGGATGGGGTAACGCCCTCGGCCGGATGCCCACCCAGTCGTTTGTTTGAGCCGGAGGAGATTCGGTCTGACGTCATTCGGTGGGGACATTCCTCCAAAGTGGCTTGTCATCCGGGGGTGAGTCGTACTTTATTTTTGGTTAAACAGCGATTTTGGTGGCCAGCTATGGCACGGGACATACGCGAGTTTGTTTTGGCCTGTTCTGTTTGTGCTGTTTCTAAGACTTCTAATCGCCCTCCCGCTGGACTCCTTCAGCCGCTGTCAGTGCCTTCGAGACCCTGGTCGCACA